AATGATCGACATAATAATAAAATTTACCAATCAATTTCTTTGTGAACCAACCAATCATAAAGAAAGCCCGCTATGCTGATCAGATACTATTATTTTAAAATTTTTTTCAAATTTTTACTATTAAAATATCCCACACACAAGTGATATAATCACATGGTAATAAATCCAAAAAAAAAATTTAATTATTTTTGTGGAAAGGTTATTTAATAGATGGGTTTAATTATTCAAATTAAATCATTTTGATCATTATTATTAAATTGTAATGTTAATATATAACAAAAAAATAATTATTATAATTAATACCAATACTGACATTAAGCTTTATGAATCGTAGTTACACAAAAGTCTTACAGTCAACCCCCTCTAAGTGCACACCCCCTTCTCCCTGCACTGCATGGTCTTTTTCCTTTTTTTTTTTTTAATGATGTAATCTTGTTGTGACATTTATTAATTTAAAATTGATTAGAAATATGTAATATGTATAAAAAATTTAAATTATTTACAATGCGCAACTCCCCCCATTTTACCATAGAATGGTATTTGTTTGGAGTGACTTGATATCATACAAAGGTCTCATAAGGCCTCCTTTTTTAATTAGAGAATTAAGCTACTGCACCCCATTTCTTTGACTATGTAAAACATCCTGTCAAGATATGTATATTTCCCATTGGCTTCCTCTTTTAATCCAAGAATCTACCCAATTTATCCAACTCAAAGTTGAGAGAGATGTTTCATTATTGGAGTTATTGTGATTGAGATCTTTTCTCTTCTTTTTAATTTTTTCTTTCTTTTTTTTTCTCTTTACTATATTATTCTCTTCATCTGTTTGGTGATGTTTCCCTTAATTTCTTCTTGAATCATCAACTCACACCCAGGTTTCCAAATATCTTTATATATGTTTGTGATAATTGTTTCAATTATTATATTAGTGATGTTGGTTGTGGATTTGTTACACTGTATAATTTTATAAATGTTATTTGTTAATGATTTTGGAATTATTCCATTAATTAAATCTAAGAAGGTAATTTTTTGTTCATCATAATATGGATCCCAGCAAATGTCTGACAGTATATTATTTATATTATGATCTTTATTGTTATACTGTTTCAATGATTTGATTATTTTTTGACTATTGCTACACAACCATAAGTGCTGTTGTGTCTCATTTTCTTGTTTACAGGAAATGCGTCATTCATTTCTGTATAAATCAGGTTGTCTTTTCTTCAAGTTTTCTAGTACAGGTAAATTATTATTCATAGTTTTAATTTTGAAAGCTTTGATTTTGCTTTCTGAGAAGGCAAAACTTTTCCATGTTCTGTCCCAATCATTGGAAAAAAAAAGTTAACACGTAAAACAAAATATTATTATTATACTGTTCTGGTAACACAAAATTTTAACCCATGCGATTGTTGTTTGACTAATCAAAATGGTGAATTTGATAATGTAAAAATTAACTTTACCAACAATTTGTTTCAATAATAAATGGTTCGAATTTAAGAAGTTGGAAGCAACCATGTGATAAACCTTTGAAATAATCTAATAAATTAAATTGTACTACTCAAAAATGTATTTAAAGGGTTGGTTTTTGACTTGGTTGAAGAATAACTCCCCTCTTGACCATATCTCTTGATATAATCAAAATAACCTTAATATAATGAATGTTGACGAAATTGTTGTAAACACAACCAATTTAAGATATACAATTGTGACAAAACATGAACAATGTATGAAAAATCAAACAAATTTATTTAATAAAAACTAGAGATTGGTACCATTAACCGTTTAACCATTTTAACCGGTTAAAGAATTTTTAAACGGTGCCAATCTCTAATAAAAACAAAATTTACAACCCAAAAATGTTTTTTTGCATGATGAATGGATCCAGAAGTTTGACGAGGTGTCATCTTCTGAGAAAGCTTGCTTTGATTTTAACCGATGCTCATCAGAAATAATAAATCTAATAAAAGTTTGATCTACATTAGTCCATCGTACACCCCAGTTATGTTACATCTTATTTCGAAAGTCATATTCACTGCTAAAAATAGAATGGCTTGTGATGTGGCTTGCTTTATGTGTGTGCGCGTGCATTTGAGAGAAGAAGAAAAAAAAAAATAAATAAATAACAGGAAATCTTTTGTGTTACAGCGAAACAGATTCCTTTAGAAATTAGATAAATATATTAATTATCACACGTGAATGCATCAATAATTTTTTTCTAATAATAAATTTTTACTTATAAAACCAGATTATATAACATCAATTTGGGGAGGAAAAATTTTTTATTTATTCTTTAAATAATAAATTAAAAAAATAAACAGCTTAAAAATTTCACATTTACACAATTAACTTATTTGACAAAAATGGCTGATACTTTTCAATTTGACTATTCTACTACTGTTGCCAACACCACTAGCATCAACACATTCACAGTAACAACACCCACAAGCAGTGATTTTAATATTGAAGAAGACGATTGGCAATGGGATGAACGTCTTCGACTCATTAATGAATTTGATAATTGGACAAGTGGTAATGATAAATTAGACAGATTCATTCAACAAACACAATTAGAAAATCCGTAAGTATATTAAATTTTTATTATTTAGTTTCAGATAAATAAATAATTTTAAGGGTATCATTATATAAATATATCTATTTAGTGATCCAGATTATCATTTACAATGGATACCTTTTGAGAATTTTGGCGAAGTAAAGTTTTTAGAGAAAGGTGGATTCAGTTCTGTATTTTCAGGAACTTTGTTAAATAAAACTGATCAAGTTTGGTGTGAAAATGAAAACAAATTCGTAGAGAAGCCACTTGTAGTCGCATTGAAATCTTTAAAAAATTCACAAGATCTTGATGAGGATTTTTTAGACGAGGTAAATTTAATTAATTGTAATAATAAATAAATAATTACGATAAATGCACATATTCTCATATTCTCTATTTGTCTCTAGATTAAACGACACGGAAGTCTTAAATTAGACGGTTGTCGTTATCTTGTTCATTGTCGTGGTATGACAAAAAATCCTGAAACAAATGAATTTATGATGGTTATGGATTTTGCTGATGAAGGAAATTTAAGAAATTATTTAAGAAGAAACATGGGAACCCTGCAATGGAAAGATGTTGTAGAAATATTAAGCAATATTGCAATAGGTCTTATGAATATTCATAAAAATGGAACATTTCACAAGAACCTTCATTGTGGAAACATTTTAAAGTATTCAATCTTCAATATTGCCGATTTTGGTTTAAATGGTCCCTCGGGAACATCTGACCCAAAAGGTGTATACGGTTCTTTGCCTCTGGTTGCTCCTGAAGTATTGACTGGTGAATCTTTTACTGGAAAATCTGACATTTACAGTTTTGCATTCATTATGTGGGAACTTTCTTCTGGGATACCTCCATTTTCGGATCGTCCTCATGATCACTCGCTGGCTTTGGAGATCTGTAATGGATTTCGGGAATCAATTATACCAGGAACTCCATTTTTCTATGAACAATTAATGAAAAGGTGTTGGGATGCTGATCCACATAAAAGACCTGACGCAGAAGAATTAGTTGACATCCTAACAACACCCTATGCTTTTCATCGACGTCTTCTTGGGTTAGATGAGGATTCGTTGAATGGTTTAGAGGATGTTAATGATTTTGATTCATTCGATGAAGTATTAAATTCGCACATTACAGACGCAAGGTATCCGGTTACACCTGACATTCATCCATTCGCTATCTACACAAGTGACTTCCTATTATTTCCAAATTTACCCACACCTACCAATTCCATACCGATTCCTGATTCAACAGAGGAGGATGTAGCAACTTCATCGTTTTCCAATGTAAATATAAATGAAGCAGATTCGGCCTTTGAAGAATATAATACAAATTTCCCACCACCAGAACTTTCAGGACCAGAAACTGATACTGAAGAAGACGAAGAGGTTTTTATTCCACCACCTTCATTTCAAATAACGAGAAGAAAATCAATTGCTCCACCACCAATTTTAAAAATATAATTTTTCTACTCGATCTTTTTTTTTTTTTCATGGGTTAAAGTGATAGATGGGATAGTAAAAAATTCCTTCTCCCTTTTTTTTTTGTTTGTTTATATTACGACAAGAATGAAACTTATGTTATTATATTGTTATATAATTCTTTTTATTTTATATAGAACACATTTTCATCAATTACATTTAAATATCTTTACAATCGCACCTTTTATTATAAATCACACAACTATGTTTGTTTAAAAATTTTGTTTATTTTACGTATGCACACACATTTTATTCATAACCAATATTATCATTAACAATCGTACATTCAATCAATCATTTTTTCATATATGAAAAAACTCGAGTTTTAAATAAAGATTGTTAAAAAAATTTTTTGTAACAAGCACACCACGCAATTCGGCAATTATATAAAAGTTTCAAGTTTGCTAACGAAAACATGTTAATAATAAATACAGCAGAAGGGATTTTAATTGACACAACTTTTTCTTTTGATCCACCACCATTCATTGCTATAGGCTGGGCCATCAAGAAAATATCTTGCTCTGGTCTTAAAGAGCCCTACGCAGTCAGCAGATTTTTCTTTTGGAAATTTGCCAACTTTTGAAAATCAGTAGTAGTAAATGTAATAAATAAATACCTATATACTAGTAATTTTATTATTATAATAAAATAACTGGTAACAATAGTAATATTTCTCCTGGTATTTCGGAAATACTGTCGTCTCGCTTATTAAAAGATTCTGATAAAGAATTCCATCTATTTATATTTTGATGTTTCCATAATAATAAATAATCTTATTTTCAGGGGGGTTTTCAAGGTCATACATAGCCCAGCCACACACAAAAATCAGAAAAGAGGCGATCAAACACAGACAGGGTCACAATACCGCACATCTGGTGCATCGTCTCCAATGCAAGCAAAACCTATTATTATTATACAAAAAAAATTCAAACAGTATTTTTTAATAGAACCGTCATTTTTTAAGCTAGCTAAATTTGGGTTCTGCGATGATTTTATGCATAATATTAATAATTCATTATTAATTAAACCCAAAAGTCAAAGAAGTCGGCATATTTACATCCAAATCCAAATGTAATCATTCAAAATTGTTGATAATCATTGCAGAAGCGAGTTTCATAAAGAAGAACAATAGTCATCGTCAACAAAGAAGTTAGTTGTTGAAGATCAAAAGGTAGTAGAAAAAAGTAAATTTATTTATTTGACCATAGTTAGAGAATTGTTACACACAACAAACAACGAATTTCCTGTAGTTTCAATTTTAGATTCAGCAATTTCTTGCATAATCAAACATGATTAAAAAATTTTATTTTTATTGCATGCATAAAAAAACCATCATCGCCAAGTGTGAAATTAATATATTAATATTATTAATATTACAAATTAAAAATATTTATGTTCAAACGTCATATTACAAAAATATTTATTAATTAAAATGCATTAGGCGAATAAAAAAAGTTCTTAAGAGTTTGCTTGGATTTTTACTTTATATTATTTACACCCGGAACCCACAATTTCAGCATCTGTATGTGCCTATCTGGGTCCTAGTAACTCCGCAGCCGTTGTTTAGAGCAAGGTTTTAGGATAACCTCGTTGACTCACTTCTGAACCGCTACTCTGTAACCCACTCATAGATAGGAGCCTTATAAGAAATTTTTACAGAAAACAGTGCATTTTCCATATTAGTATGTTTTAGTTTTACCAAACAGAAAATACACGGAACCTTCCTATAAAAGGATGTCTTTCCGTACATTTCTACACGAAAATATATGCACTCCATGTTTTCTGTATTTATTGCACTACTTCTCCACATCCCGTATGTTTTTGCGTGTTTCTGTAAATCCCGTATTGCTATTAGTATTAGTATTAGTATATTTTCTGTATGCTTTCCGTATAATAATAGAAAGACACTTTTTTACATTATAATTATAACTAGTAGTATGAAGACTCTGTAAATTTTCCGTGCAAGATTTTTTGTAAGATGGTATATCGTCAGGGAATTCTTCCTGTCGTAATATCACGCTCGCAAGTTCTAATTTTACACAATATTTACATTTGAATGTGTAATAATTAGAGATGTGATCTGTTTATAAACTACGGTTTGACTAGTGAAACACAGTTTTATAATTTTGTTGGAAGTGTCATATTTTTATTTTTACAACAAAAAAAATTTTGTTTCAACAATTAAAGCTGTTTTTAAACATTACTACCACCCTCTTCATCTGATATGGTTTTTAGAGTACCAGTTAAGGTTTTTTAATCTCATTATATGTGTCTGTACAAATACGATACTTCTGAATTTTTCATCATCAAGTTCTAATAATTTGTGGATTATTAAGGATTTGAACGATTGGTGATTATGATAGTGATAGTGATTATGAAACTGAGGTTAAAGTGGTGGATGAAAGTACATTCTTTCGTCATTTGAACTTGACATTCTTGTAAAAAGAAAAGATTTTTTAAGGAACATAAAAATTTTTTAACTTGTTAAACCAATTTGGAAATCCGCTATTAAACCGGGGTTTTGAATTGGGTAATGGTGGTGATAACATATTTATCTTTTATTTGAGGGAAAAATGAATATAATTTCTAAAAAAAAATTAATTACTATTCTACAAGAAAAATTATTATTAAAAAATTCAAAATTCCTATAAAAAATAAATTTTAGGACCACGGGACCAGTTAGTTAGTTCTGACCAATAAAAATCAACTATATTAATATACGTTTAATTCAGTTTCAAACCGGAGTTTGAACTGGGTTTCAACCCAAACCGATTAAATCACCAGTTTAAAATGCATAAACCAAGCCGCAGTTAAACCGGTTTGGTTGAACCGTTATAAATGCCAGTGCATAGTTCTTCTTTCTATAAAATAACATATTAACATACATACAATTTGGAAAATTCACCTTTTTTAAATTTAACACAAGGTGTAATACACTGAAAGTGTATGTTTTCGATTCTACATAAAACATACAGAATAAGTAGGTTTTTATTCATTGTAGAATCAATGATGTGGTCATGATATTAACTAATGCTTTATCATTATATACATAGGTTATCCTAAATATTCAAGACAATTTTTTGTTTTAAATGCTTGTTTCCAACAATGAACTTTTTTTGCAGCTGCTGATGAGCTCTTTCTGGGTTCCTTGCTTTGTCATAAAACCTATAAAGGGCAGCTTTATGACATAAATCAAAAGAATCAATAAAATAGAGCCAATAAAAGTCCAAACCAAACTTACTTATGGTAAAAAATATTCAGAAAAGTTAAAAATCTATGGAAGGATTTCAATCCATCATTTAATAAAAAGATTGAATTGGATTCAAAAAAATTTTTTTGATCAAATCTATACTATATGTACTTTACTATTTTATTATTGTCAATAAAGACACCTGCTGTGATTGGTTGTTTCAGCAATGGTAACTACCATAGGGTAGTTACCATCATGAAATATTTATGGCTGCTGCAAACAAATACAACTGCCACAAATAGATGCAGTTGCCACAAACAGATACAGCTGCCACAAATAGCCAAGGCTGCTGAAAATTTTATTTTTGCACATAATTCCACTGTAAATGAATGACCAACTAATTGAATTCATCAATTACAATTCAAAAAAATTAGTTACTGCAGATCACAAATAATTCAAGAAAATTTTAGCATGACTACTAATATAACTAATAATACTAATGTCAATAATTGAAAACTATTTGCAGCAGTTGTAGTTATTTGTGGGTAGCCGTAGCTATTTACAGAAATCATAACTATTTATGGCAAATGGTAGCTACTGACAGTTATTTATGGCAATGGTAGCTACCAGCCCAATAATTTACAGCAAGTGTTTTTAGTCATAAGATAGGGAATCAACTATAAATTGTGAGCAAAGTAAGGTCTAGCAGTGTGCCAGGCATAATTAGAAATAAATGTCCAAATATTACATTATTATGAATATTTACAGATTTTTGATCACTTAGGTATGTCTTATATAGTAAAATCATTTATTTTAAAAGTAAATAATAAATAGATATTAAAATTTTTCTTTACCTGTATACATAAATAAAGATTAGAGTAATAAACAAGCAATATCATAGTGATGTTATTAAATATAAGTTAAAATAAAAGAGGAATTTATAAATTATTGAATATTTGATAAAACATTCATTAGAATATTTTGCAAGCTTCATAGATCTTGTCCTTAATGCTTACTTCGATCACTCCTAGAAAAACTGGATCTTAATCTTTATCATTGTCATCATTTGCTAATTGTTGCTACTAATACTAATATTATTGTTTAATGTTGCAACAACTACTGATTGATGCATCTTTGTACATTACAAAATGTAACCAATCAAATCAATTAATGAATTTTATCTTTTTAAATGTTTCCTTCCAACTAAATAAAATAAATAACAAAAAGAGGGGTCATGTCAATACACCCAACATGAGCCATGCATGTGAGTCCTCTTCCATGTGGAACTTTACAGCTGGTCCAAAGTGGTCCATACACCCAAGGGAGCCAGACACAGTGTGTCCATAATGGGTACATCATCATTGCATGACTTCACCTGGATGGTTAGTTAACATTAATCCAATTCTATGACTTATATACCAACTTTTTTCAAGTTGTGCAAAACATGGAATACTAGCCAGTTAACAACATTTCATTGGATAAATTATTCCATAATTTCTATTGTGTAATCTAAAAAAAAATAAAATTCAATAGAAAAAGTAGAGTTGATGATAGGTTGTGAGTTTGTGAAGTAACTGCCAAATACAAGATGTATGATGACATGCGAAGCTTCCAAAGCAAATTTATAAATTATACTGATGAACGCTTATCAATTATTAAGTTTTGCAAATGAATGTTTCATCATTGAATAGCTTGTATCGAAGTGAGTGTTAAAGTCAAGATCTATGAAGCTGTTTGTAAAATATATTTAATCAATTATTCAAATAATTATATAGGCGGGCTTGGTTGAATTAAATGTTTACTTGCAAATTAAATTTTCCAAAATGAACATTTTATTATTATAGGCGAGTTTGATCGAAGTATTAAAATCGAGATCTACGAAACTGTTTGTAAATATATTTAATGATGTTTTATTATTAGCCGGGTTTGATCAAAGCAAGTATTAAAGTTGAGATCCGCAAAGCTATTTATAAAATATATTTAATCAATTATCAATTATTCAATAATTATATAGGCGGATTTGATCAAAGTGTTAGTCAAGATCTATGAAATTTGCAAAATGGATGTTTAATCAATTATTCAATAATTATATAAGCGGGTTTGATCGAAGCAAGTGTTAGTCAAGATCTATGAAGTTTGCAAAACGAATGTTTATCAATTATTCAATAATTATATAAGCAGGTTTGATCGAAGTAAATGTTAATCAAGATCTACGAAGCTTGTAAAACGAATGTTTATCAATTATTCAATAATTATATAGGCGGATTTGATCAAAGTGTTAGTCAAGATTTATGAAATTTGCAAAATGGATGTTTAATCAATTATCCATTAATTATATAGGCGGGCTTGATTGAAGTAAATGTTAGTCGAGACCTATGAAGTTTGCAAAACGAACGTTTATGAATTATTCAATAATTATATAAGCGGGTTTGATCGAAGCAAGTGTTAGTCAAGATCTATGAAGCTTGCAAAATGAATGTTTGTCAATTATTCAATAATTATATAGGCGGGTTTGATCAAAATAAGCGTTAAAGACAATTTATACATATTATTTATTATTTATTTACATATAAAACAATAATTAACGAAACTTTAATCAATATAAAGTCAGAAATATAAAACAATCTCTAATAAAATACTTTTTAGTTTTTGCTGAATCCCATCATAAAACTCTTCATGACTATATATTAAATTTCTATAAAATAGTTTTTCGTGAACCTCTCTAAAAGTTATTAACCAACACCCATAAAGTAATGACCATATGAAAGCTTAAAGTATTCTACACCTTCTCATTTACTATCAAGTCTTTTAAAGTGATATTGAAGTGAAAAGTAATACCGTTCTGAATAGCCGTAAATTCATGTAGAGAAAACCTTTAATATGAAAAGGTATTCATCAAAAAGCTTTAATGGAATACTTTTATTTTCTCTAACAATGAAATTCGAAGTTTATTATAAAAATAACGAGATATTTTAAAAAAACTTCATGTGACACGAATTTCGAATTTATTTTCACATATTAATATTTATTTTGCGACTTATCAGTTACTTAATAAATAATATTCCGGAATTATAAAATCTTATTCTCACATTCCGTTTTAATTCCACATTTACAATGTCTCTATATTAATATAAATGACATTATGGAAAAAATTCGGATTGCTTACTCAACTGGTTGCTTGCTTTTATAAAATAAACGGAGTGATAAACATGATCACCGGGGATATAATGGAAATGTCATGTTTTACAGGACACACCATCACATCATAATAAAAATGGCAATAGTAATAGTAAATAATAATGATAATAGTAGTAAGTTATATATACATATTTGCTATTTTTTATCAAAAACAATTTATCATTATAATTATAATTTCTAAATCGTTATTATTAATTGTTAACAAGTTATTATTTGATAAATCAACAAGTATCAATATTCCAGAGATAAGCAACCATTAGAATCGTCATGCCATGACATGTGAATTCATCAATCGAAAATTTTTGGAACTTCTTAAATGAAATTTAAGTAGTACCAACATTTCTGACATATCACATTCCTAGTTACTATTATTATTATTATTATTTATATTTATCATTTTGGTGTCAAACTCGTAAAATATCATAGGTACCGTATACAAATTGAAAGCACAACAAACATCAAGGAAGGATTATTCCATTAAAGAATCGGAACACATCCTCTGCGTAAAGTGGTTGGCTCTTTATCATTTTCCAATGCTCTTAAGTTTCTTAAATAAAAAAAAAAAATCCTTAGTTGATCAAAATTTCTTTAGTCGACTATTAGTTGATTATTTGGTCAACTAAATTTTTTTTTTTTAATTTGCAAATTACGAACACATTTCCATTTGAATCTTTCACTTTTTCAAAATACTTCGACACAAAACCATGCGTTACGATTCGTTTTTTAAAAGGTCTTCTGGGATCACCGCTTAAATCATTGGAACTTGAAGCCAATGAACAATTATTAGTTCACATGTAAGATTATCATCAACAACAATACCACCATTGCCGTCATCATCATATTGATGGTATTGATACTCTTCCGCATAGAAATTTTCCATTTGAATGATAAAACACAAAAATCGTAATTGGTCAGACAATAATAATATTAGTATTAATATTAGTAATATTAGTAGTCGACTAAGATAGTCGACTATTTTAGTCGATTCCAACCTCTAAAATAAAAATGCTCAGCAAAAGATTAATAAATCTTTTAATATATAGACGGTAAACCCACACCCATCATGTGTGTCCATAAAACCATTGATTTTTGTGGCAATAAAAAAAAAATCTTTTTCAATTCTTGCTGAAATCACTACATAATACAGATGTTATATTTTATTTATATATCAATTGATTAGGAAAATGAGTATGATGATTGAAATTTGTTGTATGTTAATACTGCAAGCTAGAATTCGAGCTATTAGATTTAAGTTTAATTTGTGCTTGTAAGTTTTAATTTTTTGGTTTAAATAAAAATGATTTTTATTATATAATTAAAGAATTGAAAAATGAAAAATAAATGATTCATCTTTTATCTTACCATTTTATACACCTGTTCTTACAGGAGGAGAGACCTGGTTTAAAAGTATACAATATATATAATTACATTAAACAACTTTTATATATAAAGTATTTTATGATTAATAATTTCTTTTTTTTTTACCAGAATAACACCATCACCACGTACAAATAACATTTCTATGGTTCTTTTTACTGTCTAAAAAAAAAAAAAAATTAAAGACAAAAAGTTTTTTTTTTTTAAAAAAGAAATGTTTTTTTTTTGGAGAAAAGGGAAATAACATACACGAATAACCTCTTCATATGTTTCTTCATTAACATCAACAATTGTAATGGTTTCTTCCACATCTCCCAACACCATATTCAAATGTCCATCATAAGCCTAATTAATTATGATTTATTTTATTTTTAAAAAATAAATAACAATAACAATAATAACAATTAATAATGTATTTTATTATTACATGGAGTTTACCACGTAATTCACGATCTCCGCGTAACTTGACATAAATACGTTCATCAAGTGATAAACGGACTAAATCCAATGGTTCTTCTACAGCATTTGGTTCAACTGGTTGAGTTTCTTCGGTCATTATTGTTATCAAATTATTATTTTTATTATTTTTATTGTTGATAATCTGAAATGACAAAATTTTGAATTGTCACATAGATAAAATAGTCGTACGACAATTAGAATGAACCAATTATTCAGATTGTTTGTAATACGGTAATGTTCCAAATTTGTAACAATTTTTAAGTTATTTATTCCTTTACCGTTTAATTTATTTTAATTTTATAAATTATTTATTATTATTTATTATTAATATTATTATTATTATAGTCTTTTGTTTCAAGACAAATAATTTCATAAAAGAAATATGACTTCCTCAGAACCTGCAACTTCCTCCCTTAATTATCCTCAAAATACTTCTTATCACCAATCTTCAAATAAAGTTACTCTAAAAACATCTATAACTCATCCTATCAAGTAAACATTTAAAATATTATTTTTTAATCGAAAACAAAAAAATGTCAATATTATATAATTAAAAATAAATAATTTTTATTTTACTGTACAGTGTAAGTTGGATCTTGCCAGATGAATTAAAAAATTGCCTTACATTGAATCTGTTATCGTCAAAGCTGGATCTTTTTGACATATACACTTCAGCATCTCTTTATCAACATTATTATTATGACCAAGTTGAAAAAAAGATACAAAACAATGATAATAACACTAATGAAGATCTTTCAACAAAAGACACATCATCAAGTACTACCACTGAAGCTGTTTCTAACTTAGGTAATTTGGCTTTAAGTTCATGTCCTGGGAAAAAAGTTAGATTAAATGGACCTGAAAGGGGTAGAGCCACAATCAAAAGAGATTTAGATCTTGACTTTCAAAGACTTGTATCTTTAGGAATTTCAATGATTATATGGTGAATATTTAAAACCTATTTAAGTTATATTATAATGCTCGATTAATTAATTTACAATTTATCCAGTATAAACAATTAATAATTGCAATTTAAAAAAGTTGCTTGAATGATGTAGAATTAGAATTTTTGGGAGCACCTTGGCCAAAATATGACGAAACTGCACAGAAACACAATATTCAAATTATTAGGTAAACAACACATTATATATATATATATGCACCATTAATCTATCCACGAGAAAAAGTCAATAATTTATTTTACTTTTGCAGAATACCAATGATTGAAGGCGGATGCCCAGACTCACTAGATCAAATAGATCAAGTGGTATTACAAATAGACCAACATATAAAGCAAGGGAAAAATGTTTTGGGTCATTGTCGTGGCGGTTAGATGAATATTATTATTTAATTTATTCAATTATAAAAAAAAATTTTTTGGAATAAAATAAAATATATTATTATTTATATATCACAATTAGGAGTTGGACGTGCTGGATTAGTGGCATGTTGTTGGTTGCTTAAAACACAATTTTGTCTTGATGCTGACCGGGCAATTCAATTGGTTAGAATGAGAAGAAGTTCTAAAGCTATTGAAACTTTGCAGTATGTTTTTTTTAAAAAGAAATAAGTAATGATTACGGTTATGATTATGATTACGTTGGTGTTATTAATTAATTTTTTTAATTTCCTATTTTTTAGACAAGTTGATTTTATTGTACAATATTCAAATTACGTTAAATGGAATTTAAATGAAAATCAAAAATTATTGTCAAAAACAACTTCAAATCATGAAAAAGATGATGTAAAAGAAGATGTAAATAATAATTTATGATTATAGATAATAAATTATATATACCAGTATTATATTTTATATAATAGACTTTACCAATTTCGAATAAAAAAATTTATTTATTTATTTTTATTTACTTATTATTCTATTTTTATAATTGATTTTATATGTGCTTATTTGTAAGTATATATATATATATATATTTATACATTATCATTATTACATTATTATTCTTATTATTCTTGTGGAAAAATTTATTATCATTATTATTGTTTTTTTAATATTACTTAGTCAAGAAGTACAAATGAAGAAAAATTGTTAAAAATTTTTTTTAAAATAACTTGCCAAAAAAGCAAAAATAACATTCATTGTATTGCTATTATTTATAAAACTCGTTATTTCTTATCATCATTATTTGCCTTGTTGGCAAAATATTTAGGATTAGGAACTAATTTACACTCAATCACTTCACATAAATGTAAAACTTGTTTAGATGTTAATAAATTTTCAAAAAATGTTAAACCAGTTGTTCTTTCTAAAGCATCTAAAGGTACTGAAAAATTGGATATTGGTGTTGATGAAGGTATATTTTCATTTGGTAAAACAAATGTTGCTAACGCATAAATTTTATCATCATCGTCCTTAGAATCCTTATTAATATTAAGAACGATATCTTTTTGATTTTTGTTTTTTATTGCTAAAATAACTTTGTAAAAATGTGTTGGCACAGAAATATTTGGTGGATTTCCTATAACTTCATATTTAACATAAAATTTTCCTGTATTTGGATCTTTTTTCGGTAAATAAGCTGTTCCAGTATATACATAGACATCTGTAAAATTTTCAACAAATAACAACCTTCTACAAAATTCTTCTAAATGGGCCCAATCTAAAAAAAATTTAAATAAATATTAAAAAAAATCCAAAAAAAAAATAAAAATCATTAAAATTCCCACTCACAATCTCTATTAAATCCAACTCCAACTTGAGGCGCTATATTAGTTAATAAAAAAGTTTCATCCAAACTAGTTTGATCTGTTTTAACATCTCCTGCTGGTACCATATGTCCTCTATCGTAACCTGATTTAAAATAATTAACTAATTTTGCTCTAAATTTCTCAGGTATAATTACATCCTCTTGAAATCTGGATTTTGTTCGGTCTACTGGTACTAAATCTTTTTTTACATCGTTCGGTTCTCCTTGAAATTTTCCTGGAAAGGAATTTTTAGTTAAATGTTCAAATGTCCAGTCAGGATGTTTGTATTGTCGATTATAAGAGGTTATATATGCTCTACGTTGTATGGCGTCATGGATAGGACCTGGGTAACCGCCAATTGGAAGTTGAGATAAATTTATTATTTTTTGAGTTGGTAAAGATGTCTTTGCTATAGGTTTTTGTGTGTTTCGTTGTTGTTGTAAATACCACCAATAAATAGCTATAAATCCTATAGCCGTGCTCGTTATTAAAACCGAAGAATTTCGTTTTATTGAAAATTTTGTCATTTTATTTTTTTTTAGTTAAGCGCGTATATATGGGGCATGCATGGTAGACAAAGTGAACATTGTGTCACATGAGATTAAGGTTCAATATTGATTATCATTTAACAATTTTATAATCTCCCATCTAAAGATATCAAAAAAATCGTACAGCTTCAAATGAAATAGAGTTTTATTATATAATAAAAAAAAGCCTGGGAACATAGTGGAAGTCTGAATTTGACCACAAATGTTACACGAATATTTATATTAATTTTTACAATAAAAATATATATGAAAATTAATCAGTCACCTGATTGCATTTTAGAAATTTATTATTGTTCTTTATACTTTCATCGACTTTTTGAAATTTCCAGATCAAGTCAGATCAAGTGTTTGAATGAGTTTACCTTATAAGCAATTTTTATATTAAATGAGTATTAGATAAAGCAGAAACATGAAGAATATGTTGGTTAATTATCTTAAATCAGTGAATGTGTGAACAATTTGGAAATTGTTCTCAGTCTAAGATAAGTCGTTTATGAATCAGTGACATAAAAAATTAATGTGAATATTATGATTATGTTGTATGTGAAATTGAAATTATGTGAAATTGAAATATTATGGAGTGGAGTGAGATTCTGATTGGCTAATTTGAATTTCACGCATGTAAATTTGAATTTCACATATGTGAATTGCGAATTCACATAATTTCATTTTCACGTACAACAATTACATGACATTAATTAACTAGATATTTTATAAAAATTTATGAGCAGATGAATAAGAAGTATGGAGTACTAATTCATGTGTATATTTATTTTTTAACAAAGAAAGCTATTGATTTCAAAGGTAAATTAACAAAGTATAAATTTTCAAACATATGTTATTATTAATTTGCTACCATTTATCTAATTGGATGCAATTTTAGTTCAACTTTTTTTTACTTAAAGACGCGTAAATTCAAATTAATTAAAATATAAATTTATTACACACACACTCCTAGACAAAAGAAAATCTTATCAATAGAGTTAAACATATTCGAGAAACAGCAAAAAAGATTCGAGCTGTAAATATCATAGCACAAAAATGGCTTGAATATATGTATCGACCCGATGGCCTTTGTGCTTCAGAGCTTGCTCAACATTATCAATTATTATGGGCCGTTTGAGAAGAAATGCGACAAGTTAACAATGTATAATACACATATCTATTTATTTGATTAATATATCTATTTATTATTTATATAACTTATTCAGATATATATCTTTAAAATAAAATCATCTGAGGTATCCCTGAGGGCTGGTACTTTAGACTTTTATTCACTGCTATTTCGTGATGATTAATGGCTATTTTTTCTTATACGTTTCATAATTTTCATGAAAGATTCCAATTTTTTCTGCAATGTAGATACCTTTCTGTTAATAACCATTGATGCATCTTTTATATGTGGACTTGCATGATGTAATCAAGGAATCGATTGTCAAGTCATGTGAAAAGCGTGACTCAATTTGCATCATACTCAAAGTCATGAAAAAAATTTTTACACTCACCATGCTACGTAGAAAATTAATTCTTCCCCTGGCAAGTTCTGCTCTCACCTATTTCTGCAACAGTTTTCGGCTCCGTTCATACTTTTCAATAGCTCAGCGTGAAGAGAGGAATGCTTTATTAAAAGAGGTACCTTTTGAGCCTGCGTATTTCAAACATGTGTTCAGAAAATAATACTTCTTAATTTTCTCGTAGATTTATACTCCCTCTTTCTCAAAACTAAAGAAGGGGACAAAAGAATATTTAGATCTTGGTAAATCTGGGAAGGTCTGGGAGAACTATTTTCGCCCATTTGAATGGCGTGCACAGGATTATGGTACGAACAGTAAATTTTTAATGTTTTTGCGACTTTTTGCTCAGAATAACAATTATTTCCTCAATAGACTTTTACACAAAAAATTCTGGTTTTCTGAATGAGATATCTGTCATCAAAGATACTATTGAGATTCCAGCTAAAGACCTTCTTCAATGTATGATTGTAAGTTTTTCGCATCAAAGTTGTGTCATCGAGGGAAATTCACTAGGAAGTGCAGAGTCACAAATCATTTGGGAAAAAATGAACAAAGACTATAACATTGATGATTTACAACATGAGGAGGCACAATTACCTGAGCCAAAATCTCTTCTTGATAAGCCTGGAAAGGAAATTGAAGTTGTTGAAATCCGTAACCACCTGATTGCAACTCATTACTTATACAATACCTTGTTAAAGTCAGAACAAGAAATAAACATCGACAATATAAAGAAGATCCATTGTATTCTTTTGAAAGATACACTACAGGAGAGAGTTAATGTGTGGGGCAAAATCCAGCAAGCAGGAATGTTTCGAACCGTGTCAATGCAGGCAGTAGGTTATCATTTGACCGTTTATCCGGTAAGTTTTAGTTTATTAATCCCACTTGTCAAGTTTCAATTATGGCTTAATTTGTGTTCTCTGTAGTATGGAGAGGAAGTACCTGCGTTGACAGAAAGGTTCATACAATTTTACAACAAGACCGTCACTAGCAATAATGTTGATGATCATGAACCATATCAAATCCATCCTCTTATGAATGCATGTCGCATACTTTCATCCTTCCTTCATATTCATCCATTCTATGATGGTAATGGACGTGTTGGACGTTCACTCATGGCACTTTATCTTGCCCATGGTGGTTTTCCACCCCTTGTTTTTCAACAACTTGATCGAAAAGAATATGCATATGCATTGTATAAGGCTCAGGCAGAAAAGGATATGGTCCCATTATATAACATAGTGATAGGAACCATCATTGATATTTTAGAATCATATACATGGTTACCCATTAGATAGTGATATGTATATGCACGATATGAGCATGAATATCAGATAATAAAATACGTGTATGTTTATTGTGTCAACTCAGGCGATTGTTCCTTACAAATTCTGAAATTAATGCACACCTTATTGTATCACGAATATAAATATCAATAAAGTTTCACCCATGATTTGAACATATATTTTTAAAATATGGTGTGGTGATGCATCGGAACATTAATAAATTTTCTTGATTGACACTGGCCCAATATAAGCGTTCTACTGTACCTTTTCGACGAGGAAGTTCCTGATAACCTGTGATGTATACACATCTCCATTCGCACAAAAATGAATCACACAAAAGTAATCAAAGTTTTATGTTTACTCGATAAGACCCAATTCTCAAAGATGTTCTGGAATAATTATATATGGGTCTTCATAGTACCTGACATATCTTAAAACAATCCAGTTTTCTTCACGTAATTCATTCTTAAGTTGATCCTGTTCCTGCTGTTTGATGAAATTATTGGGATCTCCTCTATGAAAGAATTTGATATATTTTTGTGTTGTTCTCCTTGTACTTCAATTGCAAGACCATATTCTGGATAATAAATATCAAGTTCTAATCCTATAGGAGATTCTAATGTTTTGAGAAAATCAGGTCAGCGTATCTTAGATGGGGGTCCAAGATATTTTGTAATAATAATTAACAAATCAAGTGTTCCACCAAGTATTATATATATATATATATTAACAATGTCATGTTTAATTAATATAAAGTAAATGTTCAAATCAAATCTATTCCTTTTGTTAAATAAAATCAAAAGTAAATGATAAATATTAATTAATTAACATGCTAAAATAAAAATAAAGTATTATCATATAGACAGTAGATGGAAAGCCTTCAAAATCAAACTATTACATAAATGAACTACCAGTATTAGAAATTTTAAAGAAACGTAGATCTGATTTATATGGGAATTTTACAAATTGTCCTAGGTG